CTTTTTCTGCAGGTTTAGACTTTAGGGTGAACCTCCCTCAAATAGAGGGGATACTGTCAATTTTTTTTGCTGGTGCTACAGGTTTCCGGCGGCTTACCGGCGGTTTGGCCGCCGGAAACTACGATACCAGACGACCAATAATCAGCCGCCGGTAAAGGTATTACACCGCCGGTAATACGGTTTATTACTGGCGGTTACTGATGGCCACCGGCGGTGTTACGGTGGACATCCGGCGGTTTGGAACGTCGGTACTACTGACGGCACGACTGCAGGCTATCGCTTGTAAACGAACTGGCGGTCTACCGGCGCTTGCCGGTGGTTTTAAAAACAAACGACGCCCAACTAAATCGCCGGAGGACCGTCGGTAAATTGACCGCCGGTAAGCCGTCGGTCAAATAACCGACGGCGTCACGGCCGAAAAACCGCCGGTTCAAAATCCGTTTGTAATCGGCGGTCTAGGCCGCCAAAAAACCGCCGCAAAAAAAAACCGCCGGTAAAACACCGCCGGTACAAGCTTCCTACGCGATTTTTTCCAGCGGCCAAAAAACTGTCGTAAAGCCGTCGGTAGTACAAAAAACCGCCGGTTAATATAGAGTAACCGCCGGAAAAAACCACCAGATTTCAGTGTTTTTCCTGTAGTGTTTCAATGAGGGTAGTTTAGGTTGTAAGAGTTTTTTGGATATGGTTAAGTCTTTTTCTTATAAACTTTGGTTCTCCTTTAGAGCTAAGGTTAGTTTATGGTCTAATTTTATGTTTGCTAAGTATTACAAAGTGGTGCACCCTAATTTATGTTCTTTTAAAAAATCTGATTCTCTTGTTTGGAAACGTTTATGTCAGATTAGTTGGGAGGCTGAACCTTTTCTCTAGTGGGGTTTGGGTAAAGGGGAAGTTTATTTTTGGCAAGATAATTGGCTTGGGCCGGGCTCTATTGATAGCTTATTGTCTTCTCATACTCTGGTTTCTACTAAGGTTAGCTATTTTATTATTAATGACAACTGGAATGTCAATAGATTAAAAGAAATTCTGCATTTTGATATTTTGCATCTTGTTTTGAATATTCCTTTGAATGTTAATGATACTGATTGCCTGCTCTTTAACAATTCTACCAATGGTAGATTTAAAATCAAAGATGTGTGGGAGAGTTTTAGAATTAAAAAGGATGTTTCTAATGTTTTTGGTTATATCTGGCATAACAATATTCCTTTATCCTACTTTATTCTTGCTTGTAGGTGCATTAAAGGTTTTCTTCCGGTGGATGAACGGCTTTGGAATAAAGGATTTTATCTCCCATCTAAATGTTTTTGTTGTTCTAATATTGAGAGTATTAATCATGTTTTTCTTTTTGGTAATATTGCTCAAAAAGTGTGGGCTTATTATGGTAGAATTGTTCATAAACCTATTCCTGTTTACGATCCCATGTCCATCAACAATATGCAGGATTTTTTGGCTGGTTGGATATCCTCTATTAAAGGTCATATTCTTAATCTCTTGCCGGTGTTTATCTTATGGTTTATTTGGAAAGGTCGTAATGATGCTAAGCATAATGGGATTAAGATGGAGGATATGAGTATTATTTCTAATATAAATCATAAACTGCTTCAATTTTCTGTTGTCAAGCTGATTTCAAATAAAAATTTTATTAACTGTGATAATTTCTGTGAGATTCTGGGCATTCCTATCAATACTGAAGAGACTATGAAAAGGGAAAGAATTGTGAGATGGCTGAAACCGATTCCCCCTAATCTGAAACTTAACACTGATGGTTCCATGGATCTTATTTCGGCTGGGTATGGTGGGATTATTCGTGACAATGTTGGTAATGTGATAGTGGCTTGTGCAGACCCTTTATCTCCGTGTAAGATCATTTTCGTAGAATTTATGGGGTTGCTTAAGGGTCTTTACATTTGTAAGAATAGAGGTTTCATTAACATTGAGGTGGAGTTGGATGCTCTTAGTTTACTTCAAATTATCAATAATAAGGATGTGTATGTCCCTCATTTATTTTATATTATTAGGAAGATTCGTATGGCTCTCTCTACTTTTACCTACACGATGAAACATGTTCTTAGAGAAGGGAACGCGTGTGCTGACTGGTTAGCTAAACTTGGTAGTAAGTTGGATGAGGAGAAACAGTTTGAGTTGGTTAATATTCCCCATTTGTTAAAAGGTTTGGTCAACCTGGATAAGATGGGCTTGCCGTATATTAGATCTAGATGACATTTTCTTCCACTAGTTTTTTGTTTGGGCGTCTGTTGGTCGGGGTTTGGCCTCATAACTGGGAGTTTCTTTATTTTGTGCCTTGCAGCAGTTGTTTCTCTGGGTGGGGTGTTCTTGTTACTGGCATCTGGGTAATGCTTTGGTTTATTATTTGGTTCCAGGTGTTTCATCAGTTGGTATTTGGTGTTCAGTTTCTGTCGTTTTTTTGGACTGGGTGGTTGCTGCTTTGTAATATTTCTATGTATTTTTGGTGGAGATTTGTTAATTTAGGTTCTATGATTCGTTATTATCTCATTTTGGAGTTTACTGATAAAGCTTGTCTCTGTTGTTGGAAAGTTTTTCTTGATGAGGTTGTTGGTATTATTCATGCTTTCTTGGGTATGTGCTGTTCTCTTAATCCTTTAGGCTGGATTATTCTGGATGGGAATGTTGGTGAGAAACTTAGTTTACGTTATCAAATTAAGATTTACATTTCTAATAGTTTAATCTATGTTATGTTTAATGAATATTTTAAAAAAGTGTTTTGCAGGGTTTGTTCTGATTATAAAAGATCTAAGGTAAGTTTTTTTCCTTCTATTTTACTAGATTATATGCTGTCTTTCTTTGCTTTTATTTTTTGCAGGAGGTTTGTGCTGAACGGAAACTATTTGAGCTTCCTTTTTTGGGTGCTGTATACTCTCAGCCCTAGTTCTAATTTTTGTAATTTTAGAAAAAGGAACCACTGGCTCGTAGGTTTTATTTCTTTTTATCTTGTAGCTCTTTCGAGCATTAGTGAGTTGGAGGTTCCTTCTAATTACCTTGTAACCGCTTTTTTGGGTTTTAACACGTAGGCCCCGTCGTGGGTTTTTTTTTTTTTTTAAAGACTTATATTCCGTAAATTCAAATTTTATTAGTACAGTAGGCAAAAGCTCATATTAAAATTAAGACGAAAATCCATAGAGACTATCAATATTTATATATACTCTTGCATATATACTTATGTATTTATTTTGTTCCAATTATAACGTACAACTTGCTTCAATTATTACAAAATATTTTCTAATGTATTGCCTTTAAGCAATCTTTAAAATACATCTAATAAACCAAAACTAATACATTCAACAATCTCAAAGCAAATAAAAGGACTATAAAATTTCATCTTCTCATAATCTCTTCAATATTATACAGCTTGCTTCAATCACTAGCTATCAAATGAACGCATCGCTTTGGACGAGGAATGACGTCGAAAACTATGTCTGTGCAAAGGCATCGAATTGGAATCAAGAAAATGTAATATGGCAACCATAAAGAGCGAACATACGAACATCGGTATTGGCCCAAAAATCCACATCAGAAGCACGGTTGCAAAGTAGAGTGCTCTGAGCCCCAAAACCCAGAAATTTCCGCCGCGTATTACGGCCCTTTGGACGTAGCCAACGGGCAAATCGGAGTCCAAAGTGCTCATCAAATAGCTGGCGTGAACGAAGTATCGAGCCGACTGTATGAAAGCTGTGAAAGCTGTGAGGAAGCAAATAAGCAGTGAAATGTATTTGACAGTGGAAGTTGATTGGCTTTTGTCGCCGTAGATGACTTGCGTCGTCAACAGGTTGGTCGACGAGCTGCCCACCAATGCACCGATAAGAGAGCTTAGGGCGATGGAGAGGGAAGCTAAGTTGGTTGATGCTGATGTGCTGCTCGAAATTACTGATAGGCCTAGACTTATCTCGTTGGTTGTTGCCTATGCAGTATACAAAAAGTTGTTAATTAGTCGAATAATATAATTTTTTTTAATGGTGAATGACATCATATAAAATATATGACAAAAGTTCTAACTTTTTTTCTTTCCGCACTGGGGGGATATTTTGGCAAATTCACGTGCACATCACATACTCATTCTTCAAATCCTGCAAGACTTCTTAGTTCGTAGCTAAAACTCCCTATCAATATATCAAGATGAGATGCATACAAGCTCTAATCTACGATTCTATGCGGAGTCCGGATGTCGTCCAGAGACCAACAAAAAAACACCACGTCACTCCAAAAGTGTACCGTGCTCGGTACCAGACGGTTCTCCCGTCCGGTGTCCGCACAGAATAATCTCTCCTAATCTACCGATACAACGGTCTCCCTTAAGTTAACGAACATATTATCAGCCCTTCCACAATAACAACACAGATTTAAAGATCTTTACTTTCTGCATCTGGGATAAGAAAACCTAATTTTTAGAAAATAAAACAAATTCTGAAGCTTAGAAAAATAAAACAAATACTGTAGCTAAGAAAAGAAAAACTGCTTAATATTTCTAACAACAAAAAGAGAAGAGAGTGGCATCAATGGTTGGAATATAAAGCTTTTTGAAAATTGATTTTAACTGAGCAGAAACGACTGAAACAAAGAAATTTCTGTACTTATCCTCAAATTTAAACTGCAGCTGGCTTTTTTACTCTTTTCATGATGAAAAAAAAGAAAGATTTTCAACTTTTTTTTTTCAAAACTAATATAACAGAAACATCTAAATTACCTGCATCAACCGTTCGACCCAAGCGAGCTTGTTGTGATTCTCATAGCCAACAACAGTAGTTTGAGGATAATAAAGAATGCGATAGAGAAGAATGAGATGATAGATGAACATAATAGCAAGGCCAGAAGGAACAAGAACTAAGTCTATGGATCCTCTATCATGAAACATTTCTACTCTACTCTCCTTAATGGGCCGGGGATATTCTAATATAATTTATTTTTTTCGTTTGTAATATGTATTTACGTTAATATATGGTTAACTAATAGTTGCTTGTTGGGACTTGGTTTGCTTTGCCTTGTGGAAGAAGAGGAAGGAGAGAGAGAAGAAGAAGCTTGTACGTTGCTTGTACTCCATAGTTAACTTCTATTGACATTAGTCTTATAAATAGAAGAATTAATGGAGATTAATTAGGATGATTTAATATATATAGATCCATCAATTAATATTAAATATGATAACTAACGATTACTTGATTATAATAAACATAGCTATCAAACAGTAATAATCCATGCTAAAGCAAAGGAAACAAAGTAGAATATAGATGGAGTATTATAATATTATTCCCATATTTTTAATTATTTGACTTTACTTTTGTTGGGCTTTAATTATAATATGTTGATCATTCATAGCAGGTTTTTTTTTTTACTGCATTTAATTTTCGGTAACATCTTTCTTTAAATACTTTAAATTTTGAATTTTCTCTTGCAATGTCTTTGTTTCCTGCGTTTGAATAAGAAAGTCATACCTTCTTTAAAAAATAAAAATTAAAAACTAAAAAAAAAAAAAGTCATACCTTCTTTGCCACCCTATAGTATTTCTTAAGCTTCTATTAATTAATTTAGCCAATTGCTACGACTATATTTAATAATAAGGAGAAAAAAAGAAAAAATGGAGAGCTCTTCATATAAAATTTATAATTTGATGCTATTTAATTAAAATAATAGAAAATTTTAGGTGTTATATATATATATATATATATACGGGCTAGTATATTCGTGGCGGAAGAGTGACAGTTTTTTATCTTAGAGATGTATGAATATTCAACACACAAACATATAATTTGAGAGAGCAAGAAATATCAGAAATTTTTTACGTGGAAAACCCAAAAAAAGGAAAAACCATGGAGCCTTGCCATGGTGAGAATATTCACTATATTTAAGTGAGTTACAAAGGTTGACTCGTCCCTTAACTTTTATATAGTGAAATTACAATAGTTTGGAGAGTCCGTTGAACTTTGTATGAGCACTTGGGAGTTTTTATTTAATGACCGTGGTCAGATGACCGAAGCCGAAAGTCTTTTGGTAGCAGCTAGGAGAAGGTCCAGTTAGGTCGGTGGACAGACAGAGGTCTAGTGGAGGTTCGGCAGTACTGTTCAGTGACCAGGTCGTGGTCAAACGATGGTAGGGTGGAGGTTCGATCTCGGTCGTTGGCTAGGCAGAGATTCAGTGATGGTGGGGTAGAGGTTCGGCGGTGGTTACCCGATGGAAGTTCAATAGCGATGGTGCTTGGGTGAAGCACTATGATCCATGAAACCTTAGAGCTCCCTCCAATCTCTAGCCAAATGTTCACTTTTATGTAAAAAGTAGGGGCCTACTTATAAAGTTTTGTGCTAGCATACCTAATAAATATGAGAAAAATGAGAAGCAAATCTTGAACATTCAATCGGATGGCTCGTACTAATTACACTGATCCGTTCATAAATTATTCTTTCAGCATTTAAGTATCTTAATAATGTTAGAATTAAGTGATCTTAAACTCATTGGTTTCTTCTCGTAGAGTTGCTCGATTCAACAATAAGCATGTTATATTTTAATATCATTTGATCGCCTAATTAATATTTGAAATCTTTAGATATGCGTTAAGCCTTTGAATTAGACCAATTTGGGCTCTGATTGAACTGATTTTAGTGTTGTTGGGCTCATCTCGTCAAGGCGTTCAGTTTGACTACACATTTGCTGAAATTGGAGTTCGTATGATTTTGAAAGTTTCTAATTTAGATATGCATCAAAATTTGCACTCTATTTAGACTATATATATATATATATATTAAATCTTAATTCAGATGTGACTTTTAATAATCATTTAAGAGTCGCCACTCTCTACCAAACTTAGAATTATTAAAAATAGATGCAGAGTACATATTACTTAATATAAGTAGAAAAACTTCCAAACAAAAATGATGTACAAAATATCCCCAAAGGTCCCCTTTCTCTTACCTCTCTCCTCTTCGCTTCTTCATTTCCTTCTCTTCTTCCTTCCACGGCAAGCCAGAAATGTGAGCCATTTTGGCGATGTTTCCATGCTTCTTGGAAATCAGGTTCAGTGGCATAGAATTCTTTTATGGACTGAAATCCAACCACCTTAGTTTATAGTGTTTGTAGAAGAACATAGCGTTTACTTAATTAGGGAATCAGGTACCTGATTGTGTTTGTCGGCTTTATGCTTAAGCAGTAATTAGAAAGCTGCAAGGGACTCAGACTAAGTAGCATGTCGTCCCCATAACATTTTTTTATTTCTAGAAATTTCTAAGCAGTATGGTCCATAAACAAAATAAATTCCTTGCATAGGATGTAGTGGCTCTAATGGTGTAAGGCACGAACGATGGTTTAGAATTCTTTGTCATAGGTGGAATATCTTCAAAGAACCTCATTTAACTTTTCACTAAAATAAGCTATAGGTTGTCCCTCTTGGCTCAAGACAACGTCGATTCCCACATTGGAAGCGTCACAATCTACCTGAAACATCTTTGAAGTCAAGTAGTTGTAAGATGAGAGCGGTGGTCATTTTTTCTTCAATTTTTGAAGCTGGACTGAGCATCTTCCATCGAGTGGAAATTGTCAGGTTTTAGCAATTCCATAAGGGGGCTACTAGTGTGTTGAAATTGGAAATGAATCGATGATAAAAAGATACCAATCCATAAAACCTTCACACGTGTGTGAAAGAACGAGGTATCGGCCAGCCCACAATCACTCTTGTCTGGATCCACCTCAATTCTAATAGCAGAGAGGATAAAGTCCAACAACTAAATTTTCATATCCAAGAATTGCCATTTTTGCAGATGACAATATAATTTATGCTCTTTTAAAACTTTCAAGATTTGACGTAAATGCTGCAAGTGGGTGTGAAAGTCAGGTTTATGCACAAGTATATCGTCAAAATAGACGATCACAAATTTGTCCAAAAATGGTTGAAAGATTTGTTCATGAGGCGCATGAATGTACTAGAGATGTTGGATAATCTAAAAGGTATCACCATCCATTCATAAAGCCCATTTCTCACCTTGAAGGTGGTCTTCCATTCATCACTTTCCCGTACTTGAATCTGATGATACCCACTTCGTATAGATAACATTTCCTTGCAGTTGGTTGAAAATCGTCTATACGTGGAATGGGAAATTGATAGCATATGGCAATTTTGTTTATTGTTGGGCGATCTATATGGACATATGATACATTCCATCATTCATGGGCACTAACAGAGCGGATACCACACACATGGGCTGATGCTAGGTCTATTGAACCCTTTGGTTAGTAGCTCCACCTGACGCCTCAGTCTGGTGTGCTCGTCAGTATAAGCTGATTCGGGGGTTGATTAGGTAAAGTGGCCCTAGCACTAAATCCATAGCATGCTAGATGTCACGAAAGGGGTGATAAACCTACGGGGATCACCTCTGCCCAAACTTCGTAAGTTATGGAGCAGTTGTTGTACTTCAGGCAGTCGGGGAATATCCTTAGCTCCTGCTTCTATCAATAGTACCAAATTGCCTCCTTCAACTTTTTAGATCGTAAGTTGGCATTCGGCCCTGCTGATCAACAGTTGGTTGAAGGATGATCCTTCTTGATTTGTGTTCAATGGCATCAGCACACTTGACTCCTCACCTTGGATCAACGTGTAGGTGTTGGTGTCTCCATTGTAAAGGGTCTTTCGATCGAACTATTATGGTCATCCCAACAGCATGTGACAGGCATCCATGGGAAATATGTCACACCGAGCTTGGTACTTGAATTTTTTGATATAGAATTGGACGAGCCAATGTTTGGATACTTCTACTTCTTTGCCCAATTGGATCCAAGAAAGCTTGCAAGGTTGAGGATGCGTTTTTGTTGGCAGCTGTAATTTCTCCACCATCGTATAAGAAGTAATGTTCTCACAGCTGTCGCTGTACGTCCACATTGACCTGACACACACAGTCTTTTATTGTACACCTAGTTCTAAAGAGGTTTTGTCGCTAAGCTAGTTCTTCTTTTTGGTCACTCAACAGTATTCTAAGAACTAAGAGGGGTCCATTATCCATAAAGATGGCTGTAGGATCAGGCGAGGGCCTAGCCTTAGCCGACTTGATTTCTTCTAGTGGGCACTCGATGGAGACTCCCTCCTCTTCTTTAATCATTGTGATTATTCTTTGAGTGGGACAATTTGATGCAATATGTACAAACCCTTGCCATTTAAAGCATTTCCAGACAGTGGTTCCACTTGTAGGCTTTGAAGGAGTCATCTAGGGTCGGCCAGGAATCCTTTCTTGATATATGGAAGTCCCGCTAAGGTTATTTCGTGCGGTTCGATTGAAAGGTCCTCTCCACACCTCCCTCCCGAGATTTGATTTAGGTAGGCTTAGAGTCTTTTTTTTTTTGTTTAACAACTTTGAGGGCCAAATTGATTACATCTTAGAGTGTCCAATAAGGCTGCAGCTGTACCACATGAGCGATTTTGATTTCAGTATCATCTCTTGAAGTTGGACGGCCCCGCATTGGCATCCTCATAATTTCTTCTTCTCTACTTGAGGATTCTTGGTGAAACAGGTTAACATCCTCTTATTCTTGATGGCTGATCATGTCTTGTTGATCTCTTCTTGCAATTTATTGTTGTAATAGTTGGATTTCTTGCTGTATATCTTCAACCACCACATCATGGACAGGACGTTGATGATTCCTTTACAGCGGCATCTTGCCAGCTCTGATACTAGATGATGCTGAGCCAAACTACTTGAAGCTCATCGACTGTTGGTTCGCCCCTACAGAGCTGCTCCGGACAGGCCCACTACTTCCTTTTCCTTGCCTTCACCACCTGAGTAAGTCTCATGATATAGATAGTAGTGGCAAAAAATAAGGAAACAACACATAAACAGAGGCACAATTCAATGATCATTTCTATTGATGAATCTGGAGTAT